CCCTGGATGGAGCATCACTACCAGAGACCTCATGGCAGCTGCCAGGGGACCCTGACAGGAAGCCACCACACAGTTACACAGGATGGTTAAACATGACTGTCAGCACAGCAGCCTTCAGGGATCAGCTTTAGTTCCACCTGTATTGCTTCCATGTTTAGCTTTTAATGTTCACATAAAGCTTATTGTGTAACGCTTAACTGCACTGTCAGATGTGCCAGCACCAGAAGAATTGGGATTCACCAGCCAAGTAAGAGACAAATGGGGTTTTGTTTGTTTGGGGTTTTTTTGACATAGTAATGTCGCAATTAGTTTGAGATGGCAGGATAAGAACATCTAAGATATTTAAATAGCAGTATTAATATTTCAGAGCTACTACACTACTGAAATGAGTTTACAGTCATTTTACCAATTGCTTCAGGCCATCTGGAAATGAAAGAAGCCAAGAGAGCATCTGCTCTGCACTGTGAAGATTACCTTAGCACACGAGAGCTAGAAACTAGAAAAATAGTCCAAGAGGTTATCATGGTAGTTGTTCCACCAGCTACAGAGCTTGCTGCCACCACCAGCAAAAATACATGAGCAGTTTCTTTTTCTGTACCTAATCTTTTGCTGGCCAGAAATCTTTCATTAACAGCACAGCTCATTAACTTGAGTGGAAATATTCTTGTAGCCAACTCTGAAGCTCAGGCAGTTAAAACACCAACTCTAAGACTACACAGAGCAAGTAAAATCCTACAACATTTTTCTGTTTAGAACAGGGCCTGCTGTTCCAATAGGAACATAATGTTTTAATACTTCTCTACACAAGAATTAATCCTGTTCTTCAACACAGTTGCATACTGTTTAAAAAACACAAGTCAGAGCAGTTTCTTTAGTACACATAAGCAAATTCAGCTAACATTAAAGGTCTAAAAAAGAGCAAGGAGGAGGAGAAACAAGCAATATAGTTCCAGATATAATTAGAGTATCCGCTCAGGTAAAAAACATCCCTCACCCAACTAAAACAGGCTATCTGTTTGCCTTAGAGTAACAAATCTGTCCTATCTCTTTTGTAAAGACCTGCCTTTGGGGACTTATTTCTTCATTATACTAATCTCTCCAATGGCAAAGAAATCTAAAAGCATTAAAGTGCTTCAGTGGCTAGTTACTAGTGTAGACCTTTGCAATGCAGAGTGGTGATTAAGCTCAAACAAGAAACAAAATTCAGTCACTGAAAACTTACCCTAATGCTCATTCTTCTGTTCTAGACCTCCTGTGTATGAAGGCCTCTGCCTTATATTCCTATTAAATGTGCTTTTGTAATTTCTTCCCACCATAAAGAACACAGACTCCCTAATTTTGGTAAGCATAAAGACACCTGCTTTGTGGAATCTTTCCTGTGGGGCTGCAGCGAACACAGAGCAGAACACACTCCTTGAGCCACTCTTGCATAAGCTGCAATGCTGATACCTCTTCCCAGAGGGGACAACAAAGCTTCAGGAGCTTTTTCAGCACTTTTTACCAAGATTCTTATTTGGTGTTCTAGCTAGTAGCCAACTGCAGCAGGAAATTCCCAATGCTCTGTGGCACTCCAATTTATGCACTGGAATCTGTTGGTAGCCTCACAATTTTCCTATTTACTACCTTCCTTTGCAACAGCACTTAACTGTAAGGTCCTCCCCCATCTCCAACCAGCATTATCTTTCAAGGGAGGATATGACACTTTTCCACGCATAAAACCAGGAAGAACTTTATAGTGTCTACCCTGTCCTCCCCTCCTATCATCTTTTAGTCCTCTGAAGTCACAGGAGGTGCAGATCCCCAGTCTTCCATAAATCCAAGCCCATTTGTAGGACAGCTTTTGACTGCTACAGTCACAGTGTGTGCCTTCTGCAAGCATCCACCATATCTCTGCGCTAGTACTTGTCATGATTGTCACCAACAGCTCTCTGCCATACATGAAGTTCATAATGGTCAGGAGTTATACCCAGAAAGCAGAGGGCCAGCACAGATCTCTCCCTAAACTAGAAAAAACATAGGTCATACTTAATTGTCCAGACAGAGGAAAACGAAGTTTAGTGGCACAAGCTATTTTATCTGCTATAAAAGAACACTGCTTAAATGCACCACACAGTATGAGATGCAAGAGCCAGCCTGGTCAAGACTCCCATCTATCACTTTGGGTTCAAGGAGGGGAGAAAGAGCAAGACCTGGCTTGCCACACACCCCGGATCTCATGCCAGCAGAGAGAAAGAGGCACACGGGAAGATAATACAAGTAGAAAATAAAGCCCAATTATCTTTTTCCAAAAGGTAGCATCCTTCCAAGAGACATTTTTCAAGTATAGTCCCACAATACTCTTTTGAGCTACAAAAGTAGAAGTGACCAGGTGATTGTGTAACACACAGAAGCTTTACTAGAGTCTATCAAATGAAGAAACAAGTCATACAGCAGCCTTGGGCTTCCAAGTTATTTCTTGAACAAGATGTTAGACTTCCAATGGGGCTTCACTTGGGACAGTTGTTATTAACTCTCATTGGGCAACAGCATATATGCAAGAGCCAGATGTTTCCTACAAGTCACTGACACCAAGCCTAAGGAATTCACATCACTGCTCATAGTTTCACTGTAACAAGAAACAGCAAGCTTCATACATCTTTTGAGAGCCAGAAGTTCCCCAACAGACCTGTAGGTACTAGCTGCACTTTTAATTTACCTTGGAATTCAAGTAATTATCTTGAACTCACTTAATCTGGAAGTTTCATCCCTTATTGGCACAAGGGATATAGATACACCTATTTCTCTTCAATACCTTTATTTTTATAACATTTTCTGCAAACAGTAACAAGCCATTCTCTTCTGATTATGTATTTAGTAACAGTATTGGCTGCCTATCTTGGAACACTATAGCAGCAAGAGAAATGCAAAGAGGAAGATCTAGAGCTTGAGTCAAGCATTATTGCTGGTCATTTGAATTCATGGAGTAGGAATAAAAACTGTTGTTCATCTTTAAAAGAATTCCAGCTTGAAAATACTGTAGCTCTAGCGTTTATCATAAAGAAAAGAGTGCAAAAGAACAGGTATCATACTTAGCAATTGAACACCTACAAGATCAGATCCCCAGAACTGCAACACTGACACTTGGCCAGGGAAACTTCCTGACAGGAATACACCCCTGATCACAAGTCCACATGAGAAATACACACTGGTGTAACCTGGTACTCATCATTTAAGAAATTAATAATAAAGTATTTTTGTTTTTATTGGAATCTAAAGAATGCCACATTTATACGAATGACAACGTTATGGCAATGTCTAATCACTGCAAGAGATGAAGCTCAGGGGCTTATATCAATCAAGCTGGTTGCAACCAAGCAAACCAAACTCCTCACCTTCACATTCGAGGGGCAAAAAGACAAATTTCATGAGTAAGACATCCTAGAAATATACAGCTTTCCATTTAAGATCTCGTAAGTTAAAATACTAAGTTAAAACTTTAAGGCACATCTTCCAACAGAACTACAGATATTAGTCCTCACAGCTGATATTCTGCCCAGTCATGAAGGAAGAAATAGCGAAGTCAGTTTACTTACTTCAAGCAAAAAGTAAACCAGTAGTCCTGTGTATTTGGTTTTCCACTCTCCTGAAGCAACTCCCACTCCAAGACAACACAGCACAGGGAGCAATTAAACTGCCTTGTAAAGTACATTATAAAAAAGCATATATATGAAAACTGTTTAGAATACAGGCTCATTGTACAATCAAGCACTACCATTAGGTTTTTTTTATTTTGTTGTTTCAATTGCGCTTCATTAAAGCAGTTCGATGCTGGTGCTGACGAAGACCCTAGTCATCCAACCAGACTCTCTACTTATCACTTTTAAGGTTCCTCTCTATTTGGAATAATTCTGATTTTGAGGTTTATGCTTGCTATCAGGTAATAAAGATATATGCATAAGCCCCCCCTGTGTTTCCCAATCTTTTAAAGCAGGCCTCAGTAATTTATGGCACACACCAGTTCTGACTTAGAACTAGTGAGATCAGAACTAAGAGTTGCTGTTACACATCTAGCCATAAAAGAGGCTACACAGCACAGCTGAACACAACATCAGTGCAGCCAGCAGTACACTTTCCACAGCTTTGAGAAGCACTTAATAGCCATCATGGTCAAACAACACTTCCATCAGAAAAACAAGAACACTTCACTGAAGTCCCTTGTTGTGATACTCTGGCCAAGTAGGGATTTCAAAAACTCCTGGTCTTGCCTAACTACGGTCTAAGTTAATTAGGTACTGCACTTCTAGCATTTTAGACAGCTGGGTGAAGAATACACATGGCCAATGCATCCAGCATGCCTGCAGAGAGGTATGTTTCTTCCACTTACCCAGAGCTGTGCTTTCATCGCAGCATTGGCTGAAGAACAGCTACTGCTTTGCAGCTTAATAATTGAAAACTCTCACGCTACTCCGTAGTGGTGCTGCAGTGATAACACTCACTCACTGGGAGAGCCATATTTAGAAAAATATTGGGTTCTCCCCCAGAGCAATGTAATAGTTTAGTAAGTGAAACGAACAGCCCCAGTAAGAGTCAAACATTGTCAGATTAAAGAAAAACAGAGCTAGACTCCTACAGGGAGAAGCCTGGGCTGAAGGCATCTAGCTTTATTGCAAGGATTCATTTAATCCCTGCTCGGGAACATAAAAAAAAGAAAAGTCCTAAAGCTATGTGCTGGGAACAGGGGCTACATTAAATGCAAGTCGAGCAATATAAAAACACAGCCTGCCAACCTCCCCCCTCCCGTGTTTTTCTGCAATAAATACCAACGAAGTTAATACCGGTGTATGAACTTCTCGCATGCAGCCGACACCCGGCTTTTAATAAGCGAGCGGGGGAGGCCCTTCCGCGGCTGTGCGCCTGTGGGGAGCGGGCCCGGGGCTCCACCTGCGCCGCTGCCAGGGCAGGGGGCGGCGGGCCGGGCCAGGGCGCTGCAACCTGCCGCGCCGGGCCAGCGGCTCACTTACCCGGGGCCCCGTGGCTCGGTGGCTGCGACCCGCCGGCAGATGCACCAGCAGCAGCGCCAGCAGGAACGGGCGAGCCCCCGCGCTGCGCCAGGCCCGCTGCATCATCGTCCCTCGGGGCGGCGCGGCTCTACGGCCACCGGAGACGGCTCTCCCGGGCGGTGCGGCGGTGCCGGTGCCGCCGCAGCAGGTTCCCCGCCTCGGCCATGGGGATGCCCGTTATAAAGCCGCGGCGGGGCGGGGCCGGCCGGCACTGACCGCGCCGTGCGCCTATCGCCGTGAGGCCGCCGCGGGCCGCGCCAATGGCGGGGCCGCGCCGCCTCTCGCCCGGCCCCCGCCACCGGGCGGGCGGCGCGGCGGAGGGCGCGGGGCGGGCGGGGACCCTGCTGGCGGCGGCACCTGGAGCCCTCGGTGGCACCTGAGGATCCCGGCCGCACCGGGAGCCCTCGGCAGCCGGACGGGTGCCGGGGAGCCCCGGCGGGGCCGCGGGATGCGGCCGGGCAGCGGGGCCGGCAATGCCCGCGGGGCTGCCGGGCTGCGCCGCCCGCCCCACAGCCAGGCAGGGCACAGCCGGCCCGGCCCCGGGCGAGGCAGTGACAGCTGAGCCGTGCGGGCGGGCCGGCTTAGCGAGCAAGTTAATTGGGCAGAGGAAATCACCGCATGGTCCACAAACCGTGTGCATTTGGTGCTCTGGGACCAAGGCTGCTGTAGGAGCAAGCTCGTGTCTCAGGGAGCGATGACCTCGTGTCACCTCCGTGGCGAGGCTCGGGGCATGGCTGACCCGCAGCCACAGAGTCTGCCTCTCCCTCAAGATCTTCCTCTGCGTTCCCAGCTGCACAAGGAGCCCTAAAGCCCATTGCTTTATATTGCCCAGCAAATCCTTCAGGTCTCATGCGGGTGTGTTCGGGGGTCTTTGGTAATGCATGCCTTGCATCTGGGAAAATATCCCAAGTCCATGTTCAGTACTTCTTGAGATGACAAGCCTTTAGAGACTGCATGTGGGTCCCAGTTCATCCAAGCAGCAGGCACTCAGTAATGGGAAGTTTAGGTAGAAAGTGAGCATCGTCGTACATCAGGCAAGTTAGTGCAGCTGTGGAGGAGAAGCAGGAGACGAAGGGAAAATTAAGATACACCTCCTAGCAATGTTCTACAGGCATGTGTAAAGAGGGAGCAGTACCATGGCATTGTAATGGCAGCAAGCAGTAGACTCTGAGCATTGGAGGCAGCGAATAATGCCAAGGCCTCTACCTGACAGAGGAACTGAGCAGTGGAGATACCTTGTGAGTTAAACCAGCTTGCATTTACATCACGTCCTTAATTTTCAAACTACAGGCTTGAGTTTGATGGAGGGCAGGGCAGAGGCCCAACACATTGCAGAGTAATATGCATGGGAGGTCATTGCTGTGCATGTAATTGTGATAATAACCTTTAGGTAGGACTGTTTTGTGGTGTTTTTATGGAAACACACAAAATATGACATTTTTTCACAAAATGTATTGACTTTCTTTACTCAGTGACCTTACCTTAAAACCGCACTTGCAAAATTTCCCTAGAGTGTATCCGCTAGGTATGGGGAGGGGCTGCTACACCCACACAAAGAACCTTGTTACAGTAGAAGTCATGTAATTCTGGCATCTTATCAGAGCAAAGCAGAGTGGTTAGGTATAGCGGTTGCTTTAATCTTTCTTTTCCTTAAAAAAAAAAATAAATAAATAAAAATGCCAATATGTAACATTTTGTCATTAGCCTAGACAGGATAAGCCGTTTGTTACTCACATGGAGCTCTGCCAGTATTCATTATTTTTGGCTTACAGATTTCTCTGGGACTCCAAACACAGCACCCCATACAAGCCTACCTTAGTCCTAACCCTCACCACTCTGCCAGCCTGGGTTTAAGCTTTGCCAGCTCTTCTCCAGTATGGCCTGTGGTATCCTCTGATTTTCCATTTCAAAGTCTCTCTGATCCACACCTGAACATATGCCATTCCACATGACACAAGCAGAGAGACCTTGAAGGGAAGAGGAGGGGAAGAGCTGGGAAATCTGAATATGAGTGTCCTCGTGGATATTGGGATCAGCTTGGTTAAAGCTGGGCAAGTTATACTGGTGCACACCTGAATCTGTGAAAAGACAGGCAGAATCTAGTGCAGTTTTGCTGAGGCAGTGATCCCACCGCTGAAGTACCACGTCATCTCATACTTGAGTCTTGATTAAATTCCAAATAAAATCCAGATAACAATATTACGCTTGCCTACATTCTCCTCTCCAATTTCATAGGGGGATTTTTGCATCTGACCTATTTTGTGTTTTGCCTTCATGTGTTCTTTATCACTTGTACTTTAAACATGAATGCCTTTCTTTGGTGTATTTTTCACACACAAACACAGGGATATCAGGATCTCTCTGCTAGATAAATGTTTGTTACCACCATGAAAAAGTAATTGTCTTCTTAATCCCTAATAGAGAATTCCAGCTACAATGGAAACCTACCCACCAATGTCTTTGAGGCTCTGACACCAGCAGCATCTTAACACCAAGTAGAATTTCCAGAAAGGGTCAGAAGCTCCTGGTAACAGAAACCTTTGACGCCTTCATGGTCAAAACTGTTCATAACCTTGCCACATATATTCCCAGCCATGCCCAGGTATTTCTCTGTAGGGAGAAATATTTCCCTTGTGGATAGTAACTGCCTTAGTGCAGAAGAGACTTCATAGCCTGGCCTGTGTATCACCACTAAATTTTCCTGAGTTGTTCCGATCCCAAAAATCTCAGCAAGTTACCATTCAGGAGGCTGGAGGAACATCCAAGCTCTGTTTAAAGACACCATTAAGAGAGAAAATACATGGGTCTTTTCCAGTGGTCACTTTCACCATTGAAAATGTGTGCCTAACTCTTTGGATCACTGGGTCCAGTACTCTAGTTGGTATAGGTGCACTTTACTGGTGTGTCATCATCAATGAGAAATCTAGGTAAATAGAATAAACTATAGAAACAAAAAGCTTTGGGCCAGTAAATTGTCTGTTGTTTCTCTCAGGTTGCTCACAAGTAGGAGGTGCCTGCACTGGGCATCAGTGGCATTGCAGAGATGTTGATGAGCCAAGAGAAGGCTATTGACCAAACATAAGAGAAATTGGGCACCTAATCTTCTCACTTGAATTCTTCTGAAAAACCCTGCCATCACTCAGAGTGCCAAATACTGTTGGCAGAGTGCCACTTCAATCAGTGATGTCTTGCTAGCAAAGAACTTGCCCAGAGTCTGTAACTGAAAACCACAAAGAGAGAGGGACACAGAACAGGACTCTTGAAGAACAAGAGAATTGTTCTTCATGTCCAGGCATTTGTAAACCAGGCCCAACACATGGATCCTTCACAGGAAGACGTAAGCTCAGCCATAATGAATTCAACTATGCAATGCTGGTTAAGGTTGCACTGAAACTGGTACCGTTGGGGCTTGTTGTGTACATGAGATACAGCCTACAACTTGCACCTCTGAAGACCTACCCCAACCTGTGCCCTGTGTTGATGATTAATATCTTGTTGCTATCGTGCTTGCATATCACGGGCATCACCGCAAACTCATGGCACAGGATGTGTATATTGGTGGTCTTGACAACTGTTCAGGGAGAACTGTTTGATTGCTTTGATTATTTGCCTCTGCTTCTACTTGTCCTCAAACAAGTTTCATAAGATCACTGTCCTCTTTTAAACAGTATTGGCACTCAGAACCATCACGGGATTTATCTGCCACAGCTTCCATCAGGGCACAAATCCCCTCTTGTACATGCTTAGTAGAAATGATTGTTCAACTTTCAGTAGAGAATAATCTGCTGCCTCCAAATACGATGTAATTGCTTTTAGGGACTAATTTACTGTTAGAGGTTCTTTTTTAAGTCAGTAGATGCTATAAATCACTCCTGCAAGAGGTTTAGATGCCACTTGTCACTATTATAAAAAGCGATAAAGAAGAACACAGGAAATTCACTGTAAGATTTCTTTTTGTGGGTTGCAACAATGCTGAATTTAGAACTTCTTTTGTTGGTTGGTTTTTTTTGGGTTTTTTTGCTATCTTTGCGCCCCTTTAATAATTTGGACCATATTAATCAGAGAATTGTCCATTGCTGCCAGGTCTTAATTGCTGAGAACCTGCAGCAGCAGAATAACCTTTCCTACTATGCTGACACCTGCAAATCTCCATGTAGAGGCAAGTTTGGGGCAGAGTAAAGACTGAAAAGCCACAGCTGAGCACATTCATGACCCTACGAAGTTAAGAATAGCAACCAGAGGAAGAGAGAGTCTGTTCAGTCACCCTAAAATGAGGTGGAATACAATTTCCCCATCTTCCCAGACATAGGTAGAGTAAGGGGAGTGTGGGGAGGAGTAAGTTTGACTCTTTGATTATGAGGGTGGAAATCAGACATCATCAGGTTCAAAAATATTCAAATCACAGCATACAGGAATTTTACAGTGTCATCCCACTGTCAACACAGCTTTTTACTACCTCTTGCACTTTACTGCATTCCTTTCTTTTTTGTTTTCATAATAATACTGCTGTATGGCAAACAGCCTCTTCCTGTGATGGAATAACAGTCAGTTGCTACTAAGTGTGAAGTATTCACACTTGTTAAGAAGCAGAGACACATTGCTTTGGGGTGTTCAGCATGTTTTGGAGTGTATTTGCTGGATTATGTCAAAAAAAGAGAGTCTCAGCTTTTTATGGAAGTTAATCATATGTATGTATATATATATATATATATATATATATATACATATATCCTCAAATGAAACAGAAACTCTGTTAGTAAAAAATAAGTGTCCTATTGGGCTTTTCATCCTAGAAGCTCTTTGCAGAATATTCACTTATACTTGAACAAAAACTTTTGTCAAAAACATTACAGGATTTCAAGCCTTTTCCCATGAAATCCATTTAGAGCCTGCCATTTCATTCATTTTATTTCATACAGAAATTTTGTTCAGACTTTTTCTCTATTAAGTATATTAAATTGTGTTGGTCCTGGCTGCACTACTTTGGTTTCCCAAAGCATTGCTACTAGTCCTGATTAGTTCCCACCACTGCCAGACCCTCACCTCTCACTAGTGCCCATCCACCT